TAAGATTTTATTTAAATTAATATTAATTCTAATCAATAATTATAAATATAATTAGATCTTTCTATAATCATATCTTTATATAATTATTTTTTTTAAAGTTTTCCAATTATTAATTAACTATAATTAAAAAAATCTTTCTATAATTATCTAATTTTGCTTTCTTAAACATGATAACTATAGAAAGATTTAATTATATATCTTATTAAGTCTATTTAATATTTTAGTAACTACTTTTAAGAGTAATTTCAATTGAAAGTGATTTCTAAGTATTGTTGCTTGTTGTATATTGATATTATCCTAATCATTATCTTGTGCTTTTTTTCTGGTCTGATGTTCTCATCAGTAAATAGCAGCTCTTTTTTCTTGCATTCAGCAGATAAAGATGATATCTTAGAAAGTTTGTATATATTAAAGATCATATTATTAAAGAAAATCATGAGTTTTATAATATGAAGAGAGAATATATACTAAATGAGATTGAAGATGAAATGGCAGAGTTGGTCACAATAGGTAATCACAATTTTTGAGACCATTTCATGACTGGTCTATTCCAATAAGATCTTAAGTTCTGGTCATTTGAAGTTGACATATTGCTGATGAGTTTGTAGATTAGAAATCGGGAGCTGAGAAGTTATTTCTGCTGTTCAAGATCCTCTTTTTGCTTGACATTAGAGATCCGAGCATAGAGAAACCCCTTTTTTGATGGTGGTGATGGTAATGGCAGTGACATTATTATCGACATATTGTGAAGCTAACTCTGAAAAAATAGAAGATATATTATAAAGACGATACCAGAAAGAGACGTTTTAGCTGTAATCTTTTCTTGCTTTAACCATCGACGCAGGATGTCTGATGAGATACCAGTTTTTTAATTACTTGATGTGCGGATAAATACATAAGGAGAGAAAAGATAGTTTATGATTTTTGATTTGAATCTTTATATATGATTTTTCGTTGATAAGCAATTATTGCAACGGTATTACTAAGCAAAAAATTGAAATGATATACTATTTCAATAAATTATCATAAGGTCTTTTCACATGATAACGTTGCTATGATAGAAATTAGTCAGACATTCTAATTTGTGTTGAACATAAATTAGGTAATGATTTATCATTGTCTAAAGCCTAATTTACAGATACATTTTCAAGTAAATCAGCTAATTTTTGCAAAGCTAATCTCATTTGCTCTTCTGATACATTGCTAAATGATAGTCGTATATAGGGAGAAGGGCGTGGATTGGGCAAAAACACCTTAAAATTCAGATAAATTAATAATAATAATGAAGGAGCTTATAAAAGCATTTATCATTATAATTCTTACCTCGCCAGGCATTGCCAAAATCTTTTTTTCGATTGCACGTTTGGTGATCAGTTCATTTGAATCTTCTATGCCCTTTAACTTAATCCACACAAACATACCAGCTTCAGGTACATTCCATTGAGCAACATCACGTAAATATTGGTTAGCATATTTCACAAATATGTCACGCTTTTCTTTATAAAATGCAGCAACTTTATCTACATGTGTGAGGAATCCGGAAAGTTTCCAATCCTTTAACAATGCATAGATTATTGCTTGTGTAACAAAAGATGGTGCAAGATTGGTGGATTGAGAAGATAAATCGATTTGTTTTATCAATGTAGCAGGACCGGTTACCCAACCAACGCGTGAACCAGCTGATAAAATTTTCGACATCGAATCAAATCTCAATACTCGACCATCTGTATCCAAAGAAAAATAACTTGGAATTCGTGGATTATTGTATTGCAAATAATAGTAAGGGTCATCTTCAAGTATCAGTATATTAAAATCATGTGCAATTTGAAAAATGGCACGTTTTCGTTCAATATGCACAGAACTACCGGTTGGATTGTTTCCAATTGGAACCGTGTAAATAAATTTAGGAAATCGTTCCAAAGAAGGCCAATTTGACAAGGTACTTGATAAAGAATCAGGTATAAGGCCTTGTTCGTCAGTCTCAATCTCTACTTATTTATTTTTGGTAAATGTTTAATAATAATTTGAAGAAGCAAAGATGGTAAAAATAAAAAATTATGCAAAATTACCTATTACCTATTAATGTACAAGACTGCGAATTCAAAAAAGAAAGGGCTCCTGCATATGCAGGACTTTCAATTAAAACATTATCACCAGGTTCAATTAACATTTCAAATGCCTAAAATATATAGTATTACTTGTTTTATTTTATTACATTTATATCCAAAATAAAATAATTTGACAAAACCTTAGTTAACAAATCTTGACTGCCTGTACCTATACTAATAGCAAAATCATCATAGGGAGGCGAGTGCATGGCTAATTGAAATTCACGAAGCCAATCAATCAAAGCAGGGAGTCCGGCCTAAGGAATTAATAAATAAATAAATCATTTATATCAATTACAAAGCAAAGATAAATATACCGTTGGTCCATATTGCAATGCCTCATCCATCTCTTTTTCTTCTACATTAAGCACGTCACCATTTTTAAGACATATTTTAAAACTCGAAAAAGGGAAGGTTTCAGGGTTGGGATTTCCAGCACCAAGTGATATCTAGGAAAATTCATTTAAATAAAATGTAATTACAAAACAGAAACTAAATTAAAGAAAACATACAATTCCTGGAATTTTTAAGAGTGGGACTAATGCACGGACTATTTGGTAAAAACTTTGCGTTAAAACTTATGATTGTAATTTATATCAATTTATTTAAATACACAATTTACTTGGCGATGGCTTTCTATTAAGAGACTTTTTAGACAAAAAGTAAGTGTAGTCCATGTCGAGAAAACAACTAAGAACCTAAAGACACGAAAAAAATAAAAATGAAATGTTTGATAGAATATTTATTAATTGATAAACATAAATTATTAATACTATTTATTATATATTTTTAAGAGTTCAATTGCTATTATCGTTATAAATTAAATGTAAAAAATCATTTTATTTCAATTCGCAAATATTATCACGTTGTCTCGCTTTTTGCAATTCAGTTGCCGACGGAGCCAAATCTAACTTATCGAATCTTGCTTGATCGAAGAACCGAGCAGTAACAGCGCGACCACCAAAAAATCGACCATTAAGATCCATTTTGGCTTTAGTTGCTGCTTCCTGCTCCACGAATTTAACAAAAATTCTCACCGCCTCGTCGTCAGGAAGCTTTCCATGAGGCACCTTCAAATCAAATATGCGCAGATTTAAAAAAACTGAGATATTTAAATTGAAATTTCCTTCCAATTACCTCAAATATTAAACAACGTTCAACTGTTCCATATTTTTCGTTACACTCATCTGCAGTTTCTTCCTGAAGAGTATCATCCACTTCTCCTGGACCAACCTATAAATATGAAATTAGTTACAATAATGTAAAGATATCGCAAATGTATTAAAAAAATTATTTTTAAATATTTAAACATATGGAACTACCATATTTGTCAACAATATAACTCGAGAAACTTCTTTAGTTTGATAATTCTTGGAATAATTTCCATTATTGGAGATATTCATGCCCTCGGTTTTACCTGGAATAAAATCATAATTCAGAATTAATTAAGTATATATATATTTTCCACGTTTCAATTTACTACCTGATATTGGATTATCATTATTATTGCTATTATTATTGTTCGAAATGTTAATAATAATGCCCGATCGATGGTCCGTTTTCTGTACCATCAATGGCTCGCTAATTCCTTGCTCACTCTTTCCAAGTCCTAAAGTACACACAATTTTTCGTAAAATTTAGTAAGTAATTTGGTTAATTTTTGAAAATGAAGGTTAATTAATTACAAATATGTTAACCTTGTCCTTCCTGCCACCCATATTTCGCAAGCATGCGATGCGCAAAGTTTTCAGAACCTAATCCCGAACGAGGTTCAGGAGATCTTTTTTAAAAAAAATTTTTTTTATATTTTCAATGTCTATATAGTTACATAGAGGAATAATACTGAATGAATACACATACTTTCGTGGGGATATTGCATCTCGAGATATAGCACTGCTGTTGTTACTCAATCGAGCTCTTCGTAAAAATGCTTCCTCACCAGAAATATCCAAATCTATATGGGCAGGAGGTTGACGCTCGATGATAGTATCTTCTACTAAATCACTGGTTTTAGAAGATGGTGATGATTCAGATGAATATAAAGATGGTGGCGGGAAATAACCTATTTTCGAGATGTAAACGATTAGTAAAAAGATAAAAATACTGTAACATTCATAAATGATAATAATTACGAGGGCTGGCACGTTTTTCACCGTCATAACTCGGAGAACGAAATCGTTTTCCTGCTTGACTAAGAGCTTCCTCTTCTCTACGTCGTTTTTCGAGTTCCTTGTATTCTTCGTAATCGTTTGGCTTTGTCGGATCGTAATCATCTTCCAACGATAATGGTGCTTGTCTTGCTCCCTTAGCACCTTTCTTATTCTCAAATTAAAAAGAAATTAGTTGGGAGAAATCAACTATAAATAACATGAACTCATCATGCAATTTGAACAAACTTTGTCAAATAGATTTCGTGCAGCACCACGTGGATTACTCTTTATATTCAATTTACTCTGGTTCACGTCTTCCAGCGGATTAAATTGCTGTTGCTGCTGCTTATTCTTTGAGGAAGTAGTACGAGGGACAGCAGCAGCAGGCGAAGAACTTGCTTTGTCTGTCTGAGAAGACACAGACCCAGGTGGTGAAGTTGCTGGCGCTCGCGGCGTGAGTTTAGGTTTCGCTTGCACTGTGGGTTTCCTTTGGATAGGTGGTACAAAACGCAAGGAAGCTGAAGCCCAACCCGCTGGACATGTTATTAATCACATGTCCCAAATTATTAATGCATTTATTTTTAATTAATTAATTAATTAAAGTAAGTGTCTTTATTATGTGTGCTGGATTTGATTTTGCAAATTTTATAACAGTTTAAAAGAGCGACTTCTTCGGGTTATTTATTATCCCTGGTTTTGCCAGATCTGCTTGTGTGTGTACCTGGGAGAGCAGATTTGGTTGGACCTTTAGAAGAGG